ACACCAAGCTTTAATATTTCGTCTGTCCCATCACAGATAAAGGATAGGATATACCTCCTTTTTTTCAGCAGTACATGAACCAAGAACTTCCAGATGTACAAGCTGGTTTCAAAGAGGCAGGGGAAACAGAGATCACATTGCTAACATTCTCTGGATCACGGACAAAGCAAAGGAGTTCCAGAAAAACATCTACTTCTGCTTCACTGACTATGCTAAAGCCTCTGACTGTGTGGATCACAACAAACAATGGAAAATTCTTGTAAGAGATGGAAATGCAAAACCATCTTACCTGTCTCCTGAGAAACCTGTATGCAGGCCAAGAAACAATAGTTAGAAGCAGAAATGAAACAATAAACTGGTTCAAAATTTGGAAAGGAGTAAGACAAGACTGTATATTATCATCTTGCATTACTTAACTTATATTCAGAGTACAGCATGAGAAATGCTGGGCTGGATGAATCACAAGCTGGAATCAAAAGCTGGAATCAAAATTTCAAGGAGAAATATCAACAACTTCAGACATGCAAATGATACCACTCCAATAGCAGAAAATGAAAAGGAACTAAAGAGCCTCTTGATGGGGGTAAAAGAAAAGAGTGAAAAAGCTAGCTTAAAACTCAACATTCAGAAAACTAAGATCATGGCATCTGGTCCCATCACTTCATGGCAAATAAATGGGGAAAAAGTGGAAACAGTAATAGATTTTATTTTCTTGGGCTCCAAAATTACTGTAGATGTTGACTGTAGCCATGATACTAAAAGATGCTTGCTCTCTGAAAGGAAAGCTATGACATAACTACCCAGCATATTAAAAAGCAGAGATATCACTTTGCCAACAAAAATCTGTATAGTCAAAGCTATGGTTTTTCCCATAGTCATGTACAGATGTGAGAGTTGGACTATAAAGAAAGCGGAGTGCCGAAGAATTGATGCTTTTGAATTGCAGTGTTGGCGAAGACTCTTGAGAGTCCCTTGGACTGCAAGGAGATCCAACCAGTCCAACCTAAAGGAGATCAGTCCTGAATATTTGTTGGAAGGACTGATGCTGAAGCTAAAACTCCAATACTTTGGCCACCTGATGCAAAGAGCTGACTCACTGGAAAAGACTCTGATGCTGGGAAAGATTGAAGGCAGGAGTGGAAGGGGACGACAGAGGATGAGATGGTTGAATGGCATCCCCGACTCAATGGACATGAGTTTGAGTGAACTCTGGGAGTTGGTAATGGACAGGGAGGCCTAGCGTGCTGCAGTCCATGGGGTCACAAAGAGTCAGGCATGACTGAGAGACTGAACTGAACTGAACTGAATTGACCTCTAAAGAATTTTTTTCATAAAACTATAAAATGTATTTCAAATATATTTATAATAATATTCAGTACATGCTGAAAATGTAGTTAAGAAGCTTGATTTGGGACATTCTCAAAATATGCTAATGATTCATTCTCTTCTCTGAAGTCTATCCTTATATACAGGCATTCACCCATCCACTCAACGAACATTCTGCAAGCAAACACTCCATCCTCAAAGCACTGTGCAGGATACTAAAATTATAAAAATGAAATAGATAATTGTTGACAGTCTTTCTGGCTCTGAATCTTCAAAATATAGTACTTTATGGTCTTTGATGGCAAATATAAATTTGAACCATATTTTGCAAAGAAAAAGTCATGCTCTGCTTTCTAGAACACAAGAGAAATCCTTCTGAGGTAAAACGGTTTTGACAAAATAGAATTTATGAAGAGGCAGAAGTACCTGTATGAGATTCTGGAATGCTGGTTCTTCGTTATATTCTTTCTAAATCTGATAGTGACTTGGAGATTTTCTTCACAGTTCTTACTCTTTGATTTCATGCAATGAATTTGTCCAAAAGCTTTATCTTTTTTTCCCCCCCAGTGAGAAAACAAATCAGTTTCAACTTTGTGATTATCATCCTTTTCTTTAATAATTCTAAATGTCACTTCATTATTTCCAGTTAGAATTAGTTTCTCTCTTAACCCCTGGGTGCACCATCCTGAGCTTTAGGACCCAGGACGACAGAGCAGCCTCTGCCTGATACATTACAGATTGTTCTGGAGGAGGGAGAGAGACTGCTGCATCATCGCAAACTGATGAATGTGCTACCCAGAAACAACACACACAGTATCTTCTCTGGACATTCATTTTCTTTTGTCAAGTCTCATGCCATGCCTAAATCATAAGGACAGAGAAGTGTAAATAAGCCAGGCATTTAGGAGACCAGGATATTTGTGAAAAGCTCTAAATGTACCACAGCCAGGGAAATTTTGGTCTAATTCACTTAAAAACTTGAATAGAATGGATACTGCTATATAAAAATTACCAAACGTACTCAAGAATAACTAGAAAACATTAGTATACCAACAACTATTAAAGAAATTGATATTTAAAATTCTATACCACACCTGAAAAGATAATAGGCTTTATAGGTTAGATTTATCAAACCACCAAGAATTCTAATTTTATGCAGACATTTTTGAGAGTAAAAAGAGAACAGTGTCAGAGACAGTCAGTGCCTCTTGCTCGCAAGATACGCAGACACACAGAGATCCACAGGGAATTGTCACCTAACTGCCAGCAAGTTTTATGAAGACAATAAAATCATGAGATACAATCCAGGCAAATATTGCATAAAGCAGAAAATTATAGACCAATCTTCCTTACAAACATAGGCATAAAAATGCCACATAAAATAAATGAAGTTGAATTCATCAATGTGTAAAAACCAGTACCATAAACACATGGAATTTATCCTGGATTTAAGGGAATGATGAAACACTGAAAATCTTATCACCTTAATTCATCACTGTAACAGGTCTTTTTAAAATTGTTTAACATTTTAAAAAATCTACTTTTGAATTCATCACATTAACAGATTAAAGGAGAAAATCATATGAATATATGTATGTCAATACAGAGGAACTGTTTTGACTTGATCAAATAATGAGTATGTTTAGTATTGGCACAAAAATCCAAATTTTCTGATTCCTTGAAGAGTATGATTTCCACTGTAGTGGAAAAGTGTCCTTTACCTTGACATACCATAGTTAAAATGTGCTAATAATACTGGCTATTCTTTAAACCAAATTCATTTTATCAAGTTATCACTAAATAGTAAGGAGTGCTTAAGTCTGTGAGGATTTCCTGGTGCAGAAACTTCTCACTCCATTAATTCCAATTCAAATCCAATTTTGGAATGAACTGATTATATATAATATATACATTGACTGTTATATGTTTTTAAGTGTGCTGTCTCTTATGCCATGCACTTCTAATGGGGGCAAAAACTGGTTCTTGGAGCACTAAAAAAATCTTAGATATCACAGTAGTTTTTGGCGCTCACGAGCTCAACCCTACCTGAAAAATTTTTATTCCTTATTTAAAATTTCTCTCAGTAGAGAGAAATTGGGTTTAATTTGATTTACTGATTAGAATACTTCAGATAAATTTTAATTTAACTATTTTTGTCCTCCTTACAGGGGTGATAATGAAACAAACAAACAAAAAAAGATTGATAAACTGTTCTAGAGTATGAGTTTCTTTAGACAGGAACCATGTCTAAAAATATCTCTAAATCCTCAGCCTCTAAGTGATAGTACATATAATCTTCATAAATTTTAATTTTCCATAGTTTCACTATCTGATATTCTGACAGTATATTTAAAGTTAACGACTGCCTTAGGGAAATCAACTCATACTTGAAGGAAAGTTTCTCACCATTTGTCTGAGCAAACAATGCTAAATATATTGATTTATTCACAAAAGACACACATAATATGAAGAACAAGAACTGAGAAAATCAGCTGCTTTTCATATTGAAAGGAACAGTTACAATATTAATTAAAAATAAGAATAATTTATTGAAACTTTAGTATTGGTCAGGAATGTGCTTAGCATGTATTAATTTATATGTATTAATTTATCTAATCCTCATATTAGCCCAATGAATTAGGTACTTTTATTATCATCATTTTACAGTGGAATCTGCAGTGATGAATGTTCTAGCAGTTTTTTAGTGTCATAATCTAATATTTACTAAGTAATAGAGTCAATGAGGTCATTTTCTTTTAGTCTGATTTTGATTTAGAAATTATAATCATTTCATTCAGTTTACAGTTGTGAAAATTCCAAAATTATTACAAATACCTACTCACTCCTTCCCCACTTTAAAAAAAACCGTGAAGAAATTAACATTAATCAAGTACTGATCATTAGCCACCTTTCCTGTAAAACCATATTGCATAAGCCACTTGGGTCAGTATCGCCTCCTGGTGTTCAGATGTTGTAGTTCAGAATCTTCCTGCACTGCCTTTTTTCTCTCTTTCCATCAATAAAGGAAATTACTACTCTTAAGGACACTTCTAGAGTAAAAGAGGCACTATGAGTAATTATACCAAGATATCAAGAGTAACTGAGACTGCAGTGTGGAACCAGCATGATTCTGTAACCCAACCAACTGAGACTTTTGCATCTGAAGAATCTAAGGTCTCTACATACTCCTTTTAGACAGAAAAATCACATATTTTAAAGTATAGTAGTAATGGTGATAATTTCCAGTAACAGTGTTACCTGTTCTCCAATCTATATTTGTGAAAAGATTTTTGAAAAGGTATATAAACTTCTTTGGAACATTTGTGTTTTATGAAGATAATAAAATCATGAGATATAAGCAAGTAAAATGTATTAGAATAATTTCTGAATAAGAGAAAAACTCTTGCCACTTCCCCTGTCCCCTACACAAACAAAAAGGTGCCTTTCCTCTTAAAGTTTTGACTACAGTTGAGAGAAGAGTGGTTAGATAGTTGTAAAAAGCTGTTAGGATTGAAATCCCCTAGATATGGTCTCCAAAATAGAATGCCTACAGGCAAGGTGCAAGGCAATCCTTTGGATTGTGAGAAAATAACGTTAAAATTTCTGTAATGTTTATTCAAACAGAAGTTAAACTTTACTAATAATTAGTGAGGACTGACACCGACATTCTTACTTAACATGTTATGATGGTATGTAATATTAGCCAAGGAAAACTCTAAGTCTGAAAATAGCAGTCTTCATTAGTTTATTAGTTTTCAAGGTGTTGCAATATGTTGAAGTTTACATTGACCAGTTTAATGAATTTTGGACTATATTATCTAATTTCAGCTACTCTACCAACACAAAGTAGACGAGAAACTCAAATATAATTCTACAAAGAAGTCAGATTGAAGCTAATACTGATAAGGCAAAGAAAAAAATAGAAGAGCTGACACATCATTCTAGTGTAAGTTTTTTGTAAGCTATAAAAACAATCAAAAATATGATAACAAGTCAACCAAAAATATTAGAAATTATTAAAAAGTTATTTGAGATATGGCTATTAAATTTATTCTAAAATACCACTTAACATTTATCTCCTTTTTAATTTCATGTTTTTAATCTACATAAGTAAACACTGAAAACTATAAAATATTGATGAAAGAAATTGAAGCTAGCACAACTAAATGAAAAGCTATTCCATATTTACTGATTAAAAGAATTAATATAGGGGTAGCGGAGTAAGAGATACAAACTACAAGTGAGAGGTATAAAATAAGATATAAGGATATATTGTACAACATGGAAAAAATATGGCCAATATTTTATAATAACTGTATATGGAATGTAGCCTTAAAAATTGTGAATCACTTTATTGTATGCCTATAACATATTACCATATAACTGGAAACTATACTTCAATAAAAAATGAAATTTAAAAATTATTGTTAAGATGTCTGTACTACTCAAAGCAAAACACAGACTCAATACAATCCCTATCAAAATACCAATGGCATTTTTCAAAGAAACAGTTGTAAAATTGGTATAGACTTACATTGTCGTTCAGTTGCCAAGTTGTATTCAACACTTTGCAACCCTATGGGCTGCAGCACACCAGGCTTCCCTATCCCTCCCATCTCTCGGAGTTTGCCCAGGTTCATGTTCATTGAATTAGCGATGCCATCTCATCCTCTGTCGCCCTCTTCTCCTTCTGCCTTCGGTCTTTCCCAGCATCAGGGTCTTTTTCAGTGAGTCAGTTGTTCACATCAGGTGGCCAAAGTACTGGAGCTTCAACTTCAGCATCAGTCCTTCCAAAGAGTACTCAGGGTTGATTTCCTTTGTGATCGACTGGTTTGATCTCCTTGGTTTCCAAGGGACTCTCAAGAATCTTCTCCAGCATCACAGATCAAAAGCATCAATTTGATTGGGTCCCTTTTTTTGAATGACCCAATCAAAAAATGGGCCAAAGAACTAAACAGACATTTCTCCAAAGCAGACATACAGATGGCTAACAAACACATGAAAAGATGCTCAACATCACTCATTATCAGAGAAATGCAAATCAAAACCACAATGAGGTACCATTACACGCCAGTCAGGATGGCTGCTATCCAAAAGTCTACAAGCAATAAATGCTGGAGAGGGTGTGGAGAAAAGGGAACCCTCTTACACTGTTGGTGGGAATGCAAATTAGTACAGCCACTATGGAAAACAGTGTGGAGATTTCTTAAAAAGCTGGAAATAGAACTGCCATATGACCCAGCAATCCCACTTCTGGGCATACACACCGAGGAAACCAGATCTGAAAGAGACACGTGCACCCCAATGTTCATCGCAGCACTGTTTATAATAGCCAGGACATGGAAGCAACCTAGATGCCCATCAGCAGACGAATGGATGAGGAAGCTGTGGTACATATACACCATGGAATATTACTCAGCCATTAAAAAGAATTCATTTGAATCAGTTCTAATGAGATGGATGAAACTGGAGCCCATTATACAGAGTGAAGTAAGCCAGAAAGATAAAGACCATTACAGTATACTAACACATATATATGGAATTTAGAAAGATGGTAATGATAACCCTATATGCAAGACAAAAAAAGAGATACGGATGTATAGAACAGACTTTTGGACTCTGTGGGAGAAGGCGAGGGTGGGATGTTTCGAGAGAACAGCATCGAAACATGTATATTATCAAGGGTGTAACAGATCACCAGCCCAGGCTGGATGCACGAGACAAGTGCTCGGGCCTGGTGCACTGGGAAGACCCAGAGGGATCGGGTGGAGAGGGAGGTGGGAGGAGGGATGGGGAACACATGTAAATCCATGGCTGATTCATGTCAATGTATGACAAAACCCACTACAATATTGTAAAGTAATTAGCCTACAACTAATAAAAATAAATGAAAAAGAAAGAAAAGAAAGCATCAACTTTTCGGCACTCTGCCTTCTTTAATGTCCAGCTCTCACATCCATACATGACAACTGGAAAGACTATAGCCTTGACTATTCGGACCTTTGTCAACAAAGTAATCTCTTTGCTTTTTAACACGTTGTCTAGGTTTGTCATAGCTTTCCTTCCAAGAAGCAATTGCCTTCTAAGCTCATGGCTGCAGTCACCATCCACAGTGATTTTAGAGCCCAAGAAGAGGAAATCTGTCACTGCTTCCACCTTTTTCCCTTCTGTTTAATGTGAGGTGATGGGACCAGATGCCAAGATCTTAGGTTTTTTTTTAATAGTGACTTTTAAGCCAGCTTTTTCACTTTCTTCCTTCACCCTCATCAAGAGGCCTCTTCAGTTTCTCTTCACTTTCTGCCATTACGGTGGTATCATCTGCGTATCTGAGGTTGTTAATATTTGTCCCTTCAATCTTGATTCCAGGTTGTACCTCATCCAGACTGGCATTTCACATGATATTCTCTGTGTATAAATTAAATAAACAGATTGATAATAAACAGCCTTATCGTACTCCTTTCTCAATCCTGAACCAGTCAATTGTTCCATACAGGGTTCTAACTGTTGCTTCTACAGTTGGTTATGATCCACACAGTCAAAGGCTTTAGTTAGTCAATGAAACAGAGTTAGATGTTTTCCTAGAATTCCCTTACTTTTTCTATGATCCAAGAATGTTGGCAATTTGATCTCTAGTTCCTCTGCCTTTTCTAAACACATCTGCCTGAACATCTGGAGTTTTCAGTTCATGTAAGGCTGAAGCCTAACTGGGAGGATTTTGAGCATAACCTTCCTAGCATGGGAGATGAGTGCAATTGTCTGATGGTTTGAACCTTCTTTAGTACTCCCCTTCTTGGGAACTGGAATGAGGACTAACCTTTTCCAGTCCTGTGCCCACTGCTGGGTTTTCCAAATTTGCTGACAAGTTGAATGCAGCACTTTAATAGCATCATCTTTTAGGATTTTAAATAGCTCTCCTGGAATTCCATCACCACCACAAGCTTTATTGGCAGCAGTGCTTATATGGAACCACAAAAGATCCCAAATAAAAGAACCTTGAGAAAGAACAGAGTAGAAGGTATCACTTGATGATATCACTATATTACAAAGCTATACTAATCAGAACAGTATGGCATTGGTATAAAAATAGACTCATAGACCAATGGAACACAGTAGAAACCTCAAAAGTAAATCCTGATATACATAATCAACTAACTTTTAGTAAGGGGGTCAGGAATATTTTCACCATGGGGAAAGGAAGGATACTCTTTTCAATAAATAGTATCGGGAAAACTGGATTGCCACACACAAAAGAGTGAAACTGAATCCATGTGTTACACCATACACAAAACTCTATTCAAAAATAGATTAAAGAGTTAAATGTAATATCTGCAGCCATAAAACTCTATAAGAAACCATGTAGGATAAGCTCCTTGACATGGGCCTTTCCAGTCATTATTTTTGGATAAGAACACAAAAGGTCAGGCAACAACAGCAAAAATAAACAAGCAGAGCTATATCAAACTAAAAAGCTTCTTCTGCATGGCAAAGGAAACAAGCAAAATGAATCATGGTCCATGGTTTTGGGAAAAAATATATACGAACCATGTATCTCAGCAAAGACAGTGGATATTTGCTAAGAAAGTAGACAGCAGGTACTCTCAAAACAACAAAAAAGGAGATGGATATGTTAGTTAGCTTGATTATAATAATCATCTCACTATATATTATATATAAAATCATCCTACTTTACACCTTAAAATATATACAATTTCTGTTATAGAATATAAAACATATGTGAACAATAATTTAAGATTGTTCTTGATCAAAGAAACTTGGCTTTAAGTAACCATAATGATAACTCAGGTAGATGCAACCTTTCTATGAGAATAAGAAACCTGATCTGGAGCAGAATATTCAACATTACTTTTGTTTTTATTAAATGAGTTATTAAAAAGAATGAACCAGAATCTACTTCAAGCTTGAGCCTTACAGAAATTTTATCACCAGAGTTACTAGCATATGCCAGAATATATATTTTCTGCTTAGTTTATTGTGTTGTCCCCACTGAAACTAATAAGCACAGATAAAATTAGTAGACAGTAGATCTAATATTAATAATCATATTCAGTTCAGTTGCTCAGTCATGTCCGACTCTTTGCGACCCCATGGACCACAGCACGCCAAGCCTCCCTGTCCATCACCAACTCCAGGAGTTTACCTAGACTCATGTCCATCAAGTCGGTGATGCCATCCAGCCATCTCATCCTCTGTCATCCCCTTCTCCTCCTACCCCCAATCCCTCCCAGCATCAGGGTCTTTTCCAANATTTAATGAACAATTTATAGCATATAATCACATGCATACCATGAACTCTGAAGTTGCTTTATCATATAGACTAAAGCAGTGCCAGTAATTCACCCATACACTCATATGGCTGTCAAGTATCTTACTTGGTAACTGGCAAAGCTGAAGGCATATTGATGCAATTATCTGTGTGAGTGGGTAAGTGATCCAATTATGTGTATAATTATGGCACAGCATTAATGCTGATAATGATGAAAAAGATGATTCCATAATGACTAAGCCAGAAAACAGAAAAGAGTAATTTGACTTGGAAAACATGAAGCCACTGAGAACATCTGTTGGCAATGGACATCGCTTGAATATTCACAAGAGGAAAAGGTCAAGAGGCAAAGAAAAGGACTCAACTAGCCCAGTAAATTTTATATCTCAGTAAATAGAAAGTTAATACCTTACAGATTATAATAAATATTTGACACTTTGAAATGCATGTAGAAGAGAATTCGATTATGATCATGCTAGTCTTCTTCTAGCATCTTGAAAGTTCTTGGAAATACCATATGCTCAGGAGTTTCCCCCTGAACTATAACTGTAGAAATGCTGAATGATTCCAAAGCTCCTGGATTTCTCTCTCTCCTGATAATATATGCATATATCCAGCATGTTGCATCTTTTAAGACGGCACACTAAAGTGATGAAGCTCACTGAAGTCCACTTAAAAAGAAGGCTCTTATAGAAACATAACTAAGCCTCACCCACAAAAGACATCTTAGCTTCTCCTATTTCCACTACAATTTATACTATTTCCACATGGTCAATCTCCCTCTTCATTTATCTGGCAAGCCAACGTCAGCCCTGAGGCTGGATCACTCACTTAATTGCCTATTCTTCCATCTATTTTATTGTTTCTTAAATAATCATTATTGAACATCTACCAAGAATTGATGCTTTTGAACTTTGGTGTTGGAGAAGACTCTTGAGAGTCCCTTGGACTATAAGGAGATCAAACCAGTCAATCCTAAAGGAAATCAGTCCTGAATATTCATTGGAAGGACTGATGCTGAAGTTGAAGCTCCAATACTTTGGCCACCTGATGTGAATAGCTGACTCATTGGAAAGGACCCTGATGCTGGGAAAGATTGAAAGCAGGAGATGGGGATGACAGAGAATGAGATAGTTGGATGGCATCACCAACTCAATGGACATGAGTTTGAGCAAGCTTCAGGAGTTGGTGATGGACGAGGAAGCCTGGTGTGCTTCAGTCCATGGGGTCACAAAGAGTCAGACACGACTGAGCAACTGAACTGAACTGACCCATTTTGCTGCAAATGGCATTGTTTCATTGTTTTTGATGGCTGAGTAATAGTCTATTGTGTATATATAACACATCTTCTATAGCTATTCACCTGTAGATGGGCATTTAGGTTGCTTCCATATCTTGGCTATTGTAGACAGCACTGCATTGAACATTGCAGTGCGTGTATCTTTTTTTACCATGTTTTTCTTCAGATACATGCTCCAGAGTGGGATTGCTGGATCATATGGTAGCTCTGGTTTTAGTTCCTTAAGGAGCCTCCATACTGTTCTCCATAGGGGTTGTTCCGGTTTACATTCCCACCAACAGTGCAGGCGTGTGTGTTAGTCACTCAGTTGTATTCAGCTCTTTACAACCCCATGGACTGTAGCCTACCAGGCTCCTCTGTCCATGGAATTCTCCAGGTAAGAATACTGGATTAGGTAGCCATTCTCTTCTCCAGGGGATCTTCCCAATCCAGGGATTGATCCCAGGTCTCTTCATTGCAGGCAGATTCTTTACTTTCTGAGCCACTAGGGAAGCCCCAACAATGTAAAAAAGGATCCTTTTTCTCCACACCTCCCGCATTTGTTATTTGTAGGCTTTTTGCTGATGGCCATTCTAACTGGTGTGAGGTGATATCTCACTTTAGTTTTCATTTGAATTTATCTAATAATTACTGATGTTGAGCATCTTTTCATGTGCCTCTTGGTCAACTGTAAGTCTTCTTTGGAGAATCATCTATTTCGGTCTTTTGCTCATTTTTTTCATGGGTTGTTCTTAAAATGTGTATGGAGACACAAAAGACCCCAAAGAGCCAAAACAATCTTGAGAATGAAAGACAGAGTTGGAGGAGTAGGTTCCTTGACTTTAAATTACACTGCAAAGCTACAGTCATTAAAGCAGTATGGTGCTGACACAAAACCAGACATTAAGATCAATGCAACAGGCTAGAGAGCCCATATAGCACCTATGGTCAATTAATCTATGACAAAGACAGCAAGACTATACAATGGAGAAAAGACAGTCTCTTTAATAAATGATGCTGAGAAAACTGGACAGCTACATATTAAAAATGAAATTAGAACATTCTTTAACACCATACACAAAAATAAACTCAAAATGAATTAACAGCCTAAATGTAAAACCAGATATTATAAATTCTTAGAGGAAAATATAGGCAGAACACTCTTTAACATAAATCACCACAATATCTTTTTCAATCTTCTCTTAGAATAATGAAAATGAAAACAAAAGTAAACAAATGGGACCTAACTGAAAAGCTTTTCATAGCAAAAGAAACCATAAACAAAATGAAAAGACAACCCACAGAATGGGAAGAAATGTTGCAAACAATACAGCTGATAAGGAATTAATCTCTAAATCTTATAAACAGTTCATGCAGCTCAATATCAAAAAAATGAACCTCACAATTTTTTAATTAAATCATCAGATAATATAGATGAGAAATCTGAAACCAAAGAGATCAATTAACTTGGCCCAAGTAAATGACAGAACAAAATTAGTCTCTTAAAATTTCTGCCAGTTACATAACCAATAAGGAGTTCATATCCAAAATATATAAAGAGCTCATACAACTCAATATCAAAACAATCGATTAAAAAATACACAAGACCTGAACAGACATTTCTCCAAAGAAGACATACAGATGACCAATAGGAAAAGATGCTCAGCATCACTAATCATCAAAGAAATGCAAATGAGGTATCATCTCACACCTATAGAATGGCTACCATCATAAAGACCACAAATAACATTGATGAGAATTTGGAGAAAAGGATACTCTAGTACATTGTTAGTAGGAATGTAAATTGGTACAGCCACAATGTAAATTAGTATGAAGTTTCCTCAATAAATGGAAAATAGAACTACCAATTGGTACTCCAGTTCCATTCTTGGATATATTACTGAAGTAAACAAAAACAGTAATTTGAAAAGATATATTCACAAGACAGGGATCAAGACCATCCCCAAGAAAAAGAAATGCAAAAAAGCAAAATGGCTATCTGAGGAGGCCTTGCAAATAGCTGTGAAAAGAAGAGAAGCAAAAAGCAAAGGAGAAAAGGAAAGATATACCCATTTGAATTCANTGCCAAAGCCTTTGACTGTGTGGATCAAAACAAACTAGGGGAAATTCTGAAAGAGATGGAAATACCAGAACACCTGACCTGTCTCTTGAGAAATCTGTATGCAAGTCAGGAAGCAGCAGTTAGAAATGGACATGGAACAACAGACTGGTTCAAAATAGAAAAAGGAGTATGTCACGGGTGTATATTGTCACTGTGCTGATTTAACTTCTAAGCAGAGTACATCATGAGAAATGCTGGGCTGGAAGAATCACAAGCTGGAATCAAGATTTCCGGGAGAAATATCAATAACCTCAGATACGCAGATGACACCACCCTTATGGCAGAAAGTGAAGAACTAAAGAACCTCTTGATGAAAGTGAAAGAGGAGAGTGAAAAAGTTGGCTTGAAGCTCAACATTCAGAAAACTAAGATCATGGCATCCGGTCCCATCACTTAATGGCAAATAGATGGGGAAACAGTGGAAACAGTGTCAGACTTTATTTTGGGGGGCTAGAGATTCACTGCAGATGGTGACTGCAGTCATGATATTAAAAGATGCTTGCTCCTTGGAAGAAAAGTTATGACCAACCTAGACAGCATATTAAAAAGCAGAGATATTACTTTGCCAACAGAGGTCTGTCCAGTCAAAGCTATGTATGGTTTTTCCAGGAGTCATGTACGGATGTGACAGTTGGACTATAAATAAAGCTGAGCATCAAAGAATTGATGCTTTTGAACTGTGGTGTTGGAGAAGAGTCTTGAGAATCCCTTGGACTGCAAGGAGATCAGTCCTGAGTGTTCATTGGAAGGATTGATGTTGAGGCTGAAACTCCAATACTTTGGCCACCTAATGCAAAGAGCTGACTCATTGGAAAAGACCCTGATGCTGGGAAGGATTGAAGGTTGGAGGAGAAGATGGTGACAGAAGATGAGATGGCTAGATGACATTACCAACTCGATGGAGATGAGTTTGTGTAAACTCCAGGAGTTGGCAATGGACAGGGAGGCCTGGCCTGCTGCAGTGCATGGGGTCACAAAGAGTTGGACACAACTGGGCGACTGAACTGATGTACCCCAGTGTTCATAGTAGCATTATTTACAATAGCCTATGTTAGTGTCCATCAACAGATGAATGGATAAAGATGGGATATACATACACACACAATGCAGTATTCCTCAGCCATTGAAAAAAGAATGAAATTTTGACACTTGCAACAATATGGATAGACCTGGAGGATACTATGCTTAGTGAAATAAGTCAGAAAAATACAACTACTGTATGTTATCACTTATATATGGAATCTAAACACTAAAATGAGTAAATATGACACAACAGAAACAGACTTATAAAGAGAACAGACTAGTTGTTATCAGTGGGGATAGGCAAGGAAGGAAGACAGGAGGAGGTAGGAGATTAAGAAGTATAAACTACTATGTATTAAAATAAGCTACAGGATATATTGTATAGCACAGGAAATACAGCCAATATTTTATTACAACTTTAAGTGGAGTATAATGTATAAAAATATTAAATTGTATGCTACATACTTGAAACTAGTATTGTAGAACAACTGTACTTCAGTTTTTTAAAAAGAATAGTCTCTTGACTCTGTATTCCATGCTTTTTGCTAATTTTACTGTCCCCCTTAGAAGCTTTAATTGAAAAAGACTTCTGATAGTTGCTTATCATTAAAAAGAAAAACTGTATGGAATACAATATATGCCTTGAGAAATTAAGGTAAAGCTCTGGTCATGATACTCATGTTCATAATGCAGCTTCCTTTCTGAGCACTTATCTGAATTTAATGGGCTTTAAATTGTATGTTCATATATCTTCTAGGTTTCCACAGACGTGCAGCTCCAGTTACAAGAAGGCAGTTTCCACATGGGGCACACAGGATGGATTATCTGCACTTTGAGGATGACAGCCGTGGATGGTGGTTTGACATGGATATGGTGATCATCTATATTTATTCAGTGAACTGGGTCATTGGGTTCATTGTTTTCTGCTTTCTTTGCTATTTTTTCTTTCCATTTTAGGAATTTTCATACCTTAATACTGTTGCACAATTACAAATGATGTAGATAACAATACTTAAACATTTTTAAAATGTGCTTTGAAGTTTTTATAATGTATTATATAAAATGTTGGTGTTTATAGAAAATATGAGAATGGATTTATTTATGAATGTTTCATGTAACAAACTAAACTTGATTTAAGATCTAATCTATTAGCACTTAGCAACAATACACTATTAATTTTACAGTTCTCCTTGATTTGGGATTTGTGGTTCTAATTTTACAATGTCACTTTTACACATATTGTAAAGATGAGGTTTTCCCTCCACTTAAAAATACTAAAAACACAAAATGAAATGATAATGAGTAGATATTATCTTTAATTATGAACTATTTAGTAATCATCACCTATTCTCAGGCAAGTTATATACATTAAAGATAAACCATCTTCTCTGGGAACTAATCTAGCAGGGTATATTCAGTTTTGCTTTCCAGTGATCTCTATGTCCTTCATTTCCTTTCTATTACTGACACAGCTGACTATACTTTTTTTTTAACAGACCTAATCATATCATTAGTGCAGCATTTTAAACTATTACAAGAATAGAATAGTAAACACAAACAAAAAAAAAGGAAAAATAAAAAAATAAAACTGAGACTAATTCACACCAACAAAGACTTAGAAAACTATATTAACACTTTTCCAATTGCAGGATTACTCACCAGAAGAAATTAAAAAGTTACTGACTTTCAGAGCAATGCATGTCTAAACTGTAATTAATTTAGTGATTCTTTTAACTTGGAGGTTGTCAAATATATTGTAAATGTACAATAAAGAGTGGCTTTTAAATTTTTTCATTGTTATTACCTAATTTTATGTCTAGAATAAGTATTTTTGGAAATAGGCTTAAGGGTTTATAAAACGAAAACTTGGCTTATTTTTATTATTACAGTATTCCTTGGAATTAGTTTTCCCATATTAATATTTTTTAAAAAGGAGATCTGAATTATCCCAGTACAAAAGAGAATCCGGATAGGTAGTCCAGTGAAAAAGTGAAAAAACTAAAGCACAGAGAAGTAAGCTTGTTTATTTCTATCATTTAGGTGGTCTTTGTGTAACCGAGAACCAAAGTTTTTATTTTGAACTACTAATTCAACATTTCTACACTATGATGCCATATACTTGGTAAGGCAGTGGGCATATTTTAACATAAAGTAAGTGACCCTCTCATGGAACTAAAAATACTACCGTCATTCAAACAAATTGAGATTGCAGTCTACAGAAAGTCCAATTTTGTCCCAATTGCTGACTATATTTGAATACAAGCATTTAACTGACAGTATGTAGTGTTCTAAGAAAAATATGGAAGAGTGATACAAAAGTCTATTCTAACATTGTTTATTGTGTTTTAAATTATATCTGTGAAAGAAAATAGTGTAAATTAGATACCATCAAATCCAGAAATCATAAGACTAAATACATTTTAGAAATAGATAAATCATCACTCAAATATTATAGTAAAATATATATGTGTATATATTATGCTTGCAGTTTAGTGACTAAACTATATCTTGGTAAAACAGCATTGTTGGCAAAATTCAGTATTATCTTACAAAAATAAAAATGGGTATTTATAATCACTAATTTCTATCAAAGTAAAGATGATATTGTATAAGGCAAAATATTGCCTTCTTAAAATATACGTCAGGAAAAATTAACAAAACATATGTGGGGAGCAACATTTTAAGAACTTTAAAATAAATTGTAGCCATTTCCCAAGCAAATCCTGGCTTATAAGCTTTAGCAAATATGCCTTCATTCATTTCTAACTTAAAAATTGATTGCAATTATACATGAAGTAACATTCAAAGAACTAAGATCATGGCATCCAGTCCCATCACTTCATGGGAAATAGATGGGGAAACAATGGAAACAGTGACAGACTTTATTTTTCTTGGGCTCCAAAATCACTGCAGATGGTGACTACAGCCATGAAATTAAAAGACAGTTGCTCTGTGGAAGAAAAGCTATGACAAACCTGGACAACATATTAAAAAGCAGAGACATTACTTTGCCAACAAAGGTCCATATATTTGTCAAAGTTATGGATCTTTGATGTATGGATGTGAGAGTTGGACCATAAAGAAGGCTGAGCACCAAAGAATTGATGCTTTTGAACTGTAGTGTTGGAGAAGACTCTTGAGAGTCCCTTAGACTGCAAGGAGATCAAACCAGTCAATCTTAAAGAAATCAGTCCTGAATATTCATTGGAAGGCCTGATGCTGAAGCTGAAGCTCCAGTACTTTGGCCACGTGATGCCAACTCATTAGAAAAGGCCCAACTCATTAGAAAAGTCCCTGATGCTGGGAAAGATTGAAGGCTGAAGGAGAAGGGGATGACAGAGGATGAGATGGTTGGATTGCATCACTGACTCAATGGACATGAGTTGGAGCAAACTCTGGGAGTTGGTGATGGACAGGGGAGTCTGGCGTGCTGCAGTCCATGGGGTCGCAAAGAGTCGGACACGACTGAGTGACTGAACAACAACAAAAGTAAAATAAATTGTATTACAGATACAGATTTCTCAGAGAAATAAAGTTGATTACTAAAATATATTTATTAGGTCAGTGATACATATCAGTTTATGAAGTGAAGTCGCTCAGTTGTGTCCAATGCTTTGCGACCCCATGGACTGTAGCCTACCAGGCTTCTCTGTTCATGTAATTTTCCAGGCAAGAGTACTGGAGTGGGTTGCCGTTTCCTTCTCCAGGGGATCTTCCTGACCCAGGGATTGAACCCGGGTTTCCGGCATTGCAGGCAGATGCTTTACCCTCTGAGCCATAGCTCTGTATATACAAGCTAAATCCAAATATATATATATATATCCTTACCTGATGCTGGGAAAGACTGAAGGCAACAGAAGAGAGCACAGAGGATGAGATGGTTAGAGAGCATCTCTGACTCCATGGACATGAATTTAAGCCAACTCCAGGAGATAGTGAAGGGCAGGGAAGGCTGGCGTGCTGCAGTCCATGGGGTTGCAAAAAGTTGGACATGACTTATCAGCTACAACCCTTACATAAATAGAATAGCCTTTTCAAAAGGAGTCATAGTCTGGAGGAGCATTCTCAAGTCACATCCGGTCATTGATGCAGAGCTTGAGCTGGGACTTAAAACCCCTGTGTTCATCTTTTTCATTGGCCAGTAAGAGATGTCTATGTACCCATGCTTATATATATACATACATATATGTAATATATATGTGAGTTTGTGTAGCATATGCACATACACAAAACAAAGAAATGAAATGATCACATGGTTTTGAGAATCAGTTTAAACAAATCCAGAGTCCATAGGGAAGGCAGTAAGAAATGCAAGAACACAAAAGTCTAGGATTCAAAAGACAGTGGCCAAAGCTGTTGTCCAGAGGTAGATTTTCTTTCTCCAGGAAATGTCTAAACCTTCTTTTAAGACCTTCCAGCTGATTATCAGCCCCACCAGGGTAACCTCCCTAACGACTGATGAGGGACTTTATATCTGAAAATATTCTCTTCACAGGAGAAGCTACACTGATGCTTTATTAAGTAATTAAGAGAAGGTGTGTATATGCTACACTAGCTCAAGCTTTCCTCCCCTCTTTCCAACTCTTATGAAAGCATAACTCTTATGAAAGCATAACTCTTATAGTCTACTCATCCATAAACACATTGCAAAGGAAATTCTAAGGACTGTAATTTAGCCTAGCCAAGTTGACATACCACAAAGCCATCACACAGGTGATGTCCTTTCACTAGATTTCATCTCTGAGCTATATATACAAAGGATTAATAAAATATATTTATTAGGTCAGTGATACATATCAGTTTATGAAGTGAAGTCGCTCAGTTGTGTCCAATGCTTTGCGACCCCATGGACTGTAGCCTACCAGGCTTCTCTGTTCATGTAATTTTCCAGGCAAGAGTACTGGAGTGGGTTGCCGTTTCCTTCTCCAGGGGATCTTCCTGACCCAGGGATTGAACCCGGGTTTCCGGCATTGCAGGCAGATGCTTTACCCTCTGAGCCATAGCTCTGTATATACAAGCTAAATCCAAATATATATATATATATCCTTACCTGATGCTGGGAAAGACTGAAGGCAACAGAAGAGAGCACAGAGGATGAGATGGTTAGAGAGCATCTCTGACTCCATGGACATGAATTTAAGCCAACTCCAGGAGATAGTGAAGGGCAGGGAAGGCTGGCGTGCTGCAGTCCATGGGGTTGCAAAAAGTTGGACATGACTTATCAGCTACAACCCTTACATAAATAGAATAGCCTTTTCAAAAGGAGTCATAGTCTGGAGGAGCATTCTCAAGTCACATCCGGTCATTGATGCAGAGCTTGAGCTGGGACTTAAAACCCCTGTGTTCATCTTTTTCATTGGCCAGTAAGAGATGTCTATGTACCCATGCTTATATATATACATACATATATGTAATATATATGTGAGTTTGTGTAGCATATGCACATACACAAAACAAAGAAATGAAATGATCACATGGTTTTGAGAATCAGTTTAAACAAATCCAGAGTCCATAGGGAAGGCAGTAAGAAATGCAAGAACACAAAAGTCTAGGATTCAAAAGACAGTGGCCAAAGCTGTTGTCCAGAGGTAGATTTTCTTTCTCCAGGAAATGTCTAAACCTTCTTTTAAGACCTTCCAGCTGATTATCAGCCCCACCAGGGTAACATCCCTAACGACCGATGAGGGACTTTATATCTGAAAATATTCTCTTCACAGGAGAAGCTACACTGATGTTTTATTAAGTAATTAAGAGAAGGTGTGTATATGCTACACTAGCTCAAGCTTTCCTCCCCTCTTTCCAACTCTTATGAAAGCATAACTCTTATGAAAGCATAACTCTTATAGTCTACTCATCCATAAACACATTGCAAAGGAAATTCTAAGGACTGTAATTTAGCCTAGCCAAGTTGACATACCACAAAGCCATCACACAGGTGATGTCCTTTCACTAGATTTCATCTCTGAGCTATATATACAAAGGATTAATCTTAAAATCAGTATAAACTCAAAAATTTATAGCATAACCTTTAATAATTCATCTCTAATACCATAAAAGTTTTAAAATGTTCTACATAGGTGGTCTGGTTATCTATTGCTGAATAACAAACTACCCTAAATTTAATGGTGTAAAAAACAATCATTTTATTATATCTCATATTTTTGTGGATCAGGGGCTCAGACAGCACTCAGCTGGATGGTTCTGTGTTCCCTGTAGCATCAACAGGGGTCACTTGGTGATAATCAGCAGGCAGCAGACTGGTCTGGAGGGTTCAAGACGACTCCACTCCTGGGAGAGGTGGCTTAAAATTTAGGCTCAGCAGAAATGATCAAATGGAGCACCTCCATGTGGTCTGACAAGGCAGTCTCACAGTGATCAGGCCTCTTGCATAGTAGCTCAGGACTCCCAGAGGGAATGTTCATGAAACCCAGGCAGAAAAACCAGAGTTGCAGAGCGCAGCAGTCCAGCTGCTTCCTATTGATCAAGAACGTCGCCAAGACCAGTTCAGATTTCAAGGAAAGGGGAATGTTTCTAAGAGACCAAGTAATACTCTATCACTCTAGGAAATCTTTGTGGTGGTGGTTTAGTTCCTAAGTCGTGTCTGCCTCTGGCAACCCTCTGGACTGTAGCCCACCAGGCTGCTCTTTCCGTGGGGTTCTCCAGGCAAGAATACTGGAGTGGGTTGGCATTTCCTTCTCCAGGGGATCTTCCCGAGCCAGGAATCAAACCCAGGTCTCCTGCATTGCAGGCAGATTCTTTGCCGACTGGGCTACGAGGGAGCCTAGGAAATC